GGGCGCGCGGGGGAGGGGGCACGGGCGCGTGCGCGGCGGCATTTTTTAAAAATTAAAAAAAAAATAATTTCAGTTTTTTGCGACGACTTTTTTAGACTTGTCGTCGCTAAAAAATAAGAGTATTTGCGACGACAATTTGAAATGTCGTCACAAAAAATGATCATATGATGAGAATTTTGCAACGACGTATTAGCGACGCCTGTCGTCGCAAATACAGAGTGTCGTCGCAAATGTATTTGCGATGGCATTATGTCGTCGTAAAAAATGTTTTTGCGACTAATTTTTTGCGCTGACAACTTTGTGACGACTTATCATCGCAAAAAAGTTTATTTGCGACGACATTCGGGTTTTTGCGACGACTTTTTGTTGTCGCAAAAACCCCTTTTTCTTGTAGTGTATATATAGCATATTCTTACAATGATACTCAGAGGAGCTGCGAAAACACAGACAGAAAACACAGCGCAAATCCATCCGACGACGGTAACTCGCTGAGAAATTTTTCCGACGAAAGATGTGGAGAGTAAGATCAATCCATAAGCCCCCATGTTAAAGAGAACCAGAAGCTTTATTGTGTAAATCTGCAAAAATATATTAACACATAAGTTGTATATAGATCATGATCAACATTCACACGCGCACACATAAATATACTTTTTACCTTTTTTTGTTTAGTTAACGTAGAAGAAGAAAAAAAGTATATAATTAAGTTAATAATTACCCTGACTTTTCCCGGTGCATAAATGAGGAAGACAATGAGATAAATGGATTCTATGGCGCAACCAATAGAATTGATGGTGATGATCATGACGCCATTAGGTAGGCCCTTGAGTATGCCATAGTAAAGCGTCAACATGGCGCTAAACAATGCTACCGAATAAGGTATGGCTTGGAATCCCTCCGTAGATTTTTTCCTGAATATCCTGTAAAAGGTTGGCCTAAAAGCAAAAAAACAGAAACTATTTTAACTTGAAAGAAAATAATATGTACATGTATATTGTGTATATACGTTTAGTGAGATAGAGAGAGAGATTACAGTGGGGCTAGATAGACGAGGAAGGACACGATGTTACCTAAAACCATGAGGAAAAAAAATAAAACACCCATCAGAATTGGAGGCTCATGAATGAATGAATGAAATGACAATACTGATCATTATCAATCATTTTTTTTTTTTTTTTTTTTTGGGAAGTGCTATAGTACCAAGAATGCCAAAAACAAAAGCCAAGCGGGAAGCATTCATGACTGCCATACTATTAATAAAATGTAAAATAGTAGTATATATTTTGTTGATCTTGGCGTCAAGCTCTCTCTGGAGGGATCAGGATTTTGAAATATATTTGAGCTGATCAGATATTGATCCCCCAACAGAGAAAGAGCTTGTGAGACATGAGAGATTTGGGAGAGAGGTGGGTATTTATATTTATAATAATACGAGGTGAAAAGTGAGAGAGAATTAAATATATAGATGATGACATAGGATGAGTTGGTTTCGGACGTGGTTTGGCCTAGAGCTGTTGAACAAACTGCGTGTGGTGTGTGATTGGGATCTTACTACATTTTGCGGGCGAGATCAACTAAATGAGCTGGGAAAAATGTTCCATAGTGGAGGGCGCTTTTGGAGCTGATGATTGTGTATTTCATGATGACAAGTACCATATTGAACGCACAATATTAAATTATTGGCTTGCAGGCTTATAGCAGCAAGCTACCTAGCTGCGCAGCTTACTGTTCGAATCATACACACATATATATATTAATTGTTTCAAGTCCGGTATCCAGACTAGTCCGATAGATGTACGTTTTTTCATATTTCTGTGTAACATCGTTTTTTTTTTTTTTTTTTTATGTGTATAATACTCAATTTGCATGAATATAACATTCTAAAAATATAATACAACATACTAAGTACATTTAAGCAAATTAATTGTTAACAAATGTAAAAAAAACGATGTCACAGGAAAATACGAAAAAAAGTTATATTATTGTGTTGAAAAATAATGAATTTATATCTCAGGTGGTGCATATATCATGACTAGAGAATGTAGTAAATAACATATTTATAAAACTAAATGAAGTAAATAATAGATTTAAAATTATTTGAAGTAAATAGCAGTTTATGTGGTAAATGAATCATTTACCGTAGTGTAAATGGTTCATTTACGACTAATAAAAATAATTTTTTTGTACATAAATATTCTTTTTATGGCTGATAAAAAGATTTTTTTGGACGTAAAAAATAAATATTTTTTAATATTTTTTACCATGTAAGTCATTTATCACGTAAACTGCTATTTACTTTAAATAATTTTAATATATGTTATTTACTTAATTTAATTTCAAAAATATGCTATTTACTACAGTTTTCCTTATATAAATACATACTAGTTTTCAATGGTTATGTTTTCATGATGGTTACCCATCAAATATGAAAATTTGATGGTGTGACGTGGCAAAAATTCAATCTCGCTAATTACCATTATATTTTTTAGTCAACTATCCATTTATTACGGTTATCGAATTAATTGCTAAAACAATAATATCCATTGATAAGTAAATATTTAAATAATCATTAAGACCATATCATGTGTGTGTGGACAAATTTTCAATGGTTATGTTTTTATCTTATGGTCACCTCTAAATATAAAAATTTGATGAAATGACGTGATAACAATTTGATTTCATTAATTGTCATTAATTTTTTAGTTAACTATTCAATTTATGACAACATTCAGTTAGTATATCTTGTAGTTAAATAATAATACTTATTGATGAATAAATATTGGAGTAACTATTAGAACCACACCCCGCGTGTATATATATATATATATATATATGTATATATGAGAAAAAGGGTTCACTGGTGCGTGTAAGTAGTATAAAAATGACTTGACTCAATTTACTTGAAAAATTGATCTAATATATTCATTTTAAAACGGGACTACGAAGTATTGAACCTTGAACAATGCATCCTGAGAAAAGGAAAAAGAAAAAACATTTTCACTAGCGCACCAACCCATTGGTGATAATCTCTATATTTAACCAACAATATTTAACTTTATTTGTAAGTTGTATATCAATAGTAATACGCAGTAATATTCGTGCTACCACACCATCATGATGCCCAAGTGTTTTTGGCATGTAGAGCTGGGCAATTGTCTAGAAAATTGTACACATCCATCTATATTTGTCCATTAAAAACTATAGAACCCCATTAAAGGTTTGGGGGAAATCTAGAGAGATACCCTTGTATCATACTTTCTAATGGGTATCTCTCCCGTCCAATTGGTAGGAAAAGCTAGCGCTAAAAGCGTTTTAGGACGCTGTTAATTAAGGAGAGCAGAGTCTTAATTTCTTTCTGAAAAAGGACGGTGCTCTAATAGAACAAGTGGTAAAATCTATCTACGTTTAAAATTTGAAGGATTAAGATTTGAAGGTGGTAAGCAACATATAATAAACTAAAATAAATAAGAGAAGAAAATAAAAATTAACAAGAGAATAACAAAAAGATTTAATGTGGTTTAATGAGATGCCTACATCCACTCAGGCCTTAGAAATTAAAGAATGTTTAATAGTAAGGAACACTATTAGAAGTGTTTCATATAAATATACATTACAAGTATATTAAACCATTAAATTTAGAGATTTCTTAATATTGAAATAGAGAGTTTTCTTGTAAGGACTAGACAAAATAAATTATCCATAGTATTTTACTTTTCAACCGTCAAATATGTATTAGAAACTGTTTATTTTGTATATTTTTATAATATAATGTTGTCTTAACCATATTTAATGATAAGAAACTAGTATTAGTAATCGAAAGTTGTACGGAGAAAACCTGCACGAAAATAAATATAAATAAATAAATCCCTAAAGTAAAAACTATATCTAATAAAAGTAAGTTTATCTAATAAAAGTAACATACATAAAATGTTGCCCTTGTTAAGGCTTAGGCGGCTTGAAATGCGTTGTGGCTTTAAAGGGATTGAGCCATTAGGTGACGTGAAGCAAATGACAATGCAATAAAAGGCAATATGAAAAGTGGAGGCCAAAACTTGGTTTTGCTCTTGCAAAAAGGGAAGTGAGGGGTTGGATTTGGCACGTGAGATGTCATATAGCCCACTAGCCGTTACGTTCAAACGGTTTCGAATTTACTCCCTACACTGCGTTTGTTTGTGCCTCATTGCCCCCTTTCTTCTTTATCAATCAAATTAAGCCCATTTTGGTCAATTCTAAGCGCATATATATATATATATATATATATATATAATAGGTTACATAGCAGATACGTGTTCCAATCAGTATGACACATTTCTCTTCATCATGTTTTGATCAATTTGTCCCGGAACAATATTGCTATGAATCTTTAGTCGTGTTCACTTTTAACCAATTATGTATAAGTCTATATGCGTTGAATATGAGACTCAAATATCATTACCACAAGCAACTATACATTTGCATACAATAACTTTTGTATTAATTGCAATAATAGTAGTGATTCTAGTGAAGAACATGAATTTTTATTTAGTTTTCCGCCCCATGGGAAGAAAATCATATTGCAAATCTTGGGTGCTGTAGTATCGCCTACACGTCATGTGTGAATATTGTGGCAATATGTAGCCAAACATATGGATATTAAATTACTGTTCATTTTTCAAATATACATATTTTTAGTTATTTTCCGCAATTGGAAGGATCTTAGTTAGTTACTAATAAGATAAGACAGGATGATAAAATGTCTATGAAGTAATTGCAAATATTAGTACGTAAAGCATTAAATTAAACACGGTTTATATAGGAATCTGAGCCTTAGAGCTATTTTATTTATTTTCCGTAATGGTAAAAATGTCAATTATTAGATAGCTAGGATATTGGATAATCACAAATTTATAAGGCTTAATCCCAACCACACGCTTGCAATATAGGGTTATCTGAATTAAGGAGTACTTAGGTATAATTTTGACGTGCCAAAAGGGTGACTCCAACAAGTTTATATTTATAAACACATATTTGCTTAATTTCATCATGATTTACCAATTGACTTTAACATTATGTTAGGCTGCTGGCTTTGCTTAATTGTTAAAATTGAAAAAACAGATTTTTAATTAGGTATTATATGGTTTCATCTTTGTCATTATATATTTTCTTTCTAATAAATGCGATTTCTAGCCTTCCATTAGACATTTGTATTAATATTTTACTAGCCCTAGGTTCCTTTTTCAATTCAGTTATATATGGGCACTCTTTCTTGCGGAAAAATCTTGTCATCATTCTTTTATACCTAGTTTGTTTCAACACACATTCCAGCAATAATATAAGAAACTAAAAAAAAAAAAAAAAAAAAAGAAAAAAAAAGGGTTTTTTTTTAAAAAAAAATAAAAAAAAAAAAAAAAAAAAAAAAAAAAAAGGAAAAGAAAGAGTTTGCTTTTAGACATAAATATTTCCATACTTTGTCCTCTCTCAATTTTAGTTCACAATCTAGTCAATTCATGTGAAACAAACTAAAAGAAAAAAAAAAAAAAAAAGGAAAAAGGAATGCTCAAATTGCGTAATAGCCAGTGATAGAAAAAGCTAGCGCTAAAGTTTTTATTTTCTTTTTGGTTTTTTGTTCTTAGTGCAACGGAGCAATAGCCATACAGCTGTTGAAATACTATTGGTATTTTATATATATATATATATATATATATATCTTATATTAGTAATAACAATCGTACACTCTTTGGATTACCATCTTTGTTTGACTTAAAAAAATACTGGAGTCTAAAATGTGGCAAACCTTAAAACGATAATAAAATAATTAAAAAAACATTAATAGCACTAATTGTTTCTATTATGCTTTTACATCGTTATAATTAAGTTTGGTCACAATAACGGGGCAAATTAATTAGTGGGATATTCAGCATTTGTTATTTCAACGAATTTAGTTATGGGCTTCAATCTTTCTCCTCGTACTAGCTAGAATCCGGTCCGTTGAGGGGATTTATATACATCCTCTTGAAATGTATACGTGACTAGATAGTAAATAGAGAGGGAAATAGTTGTTATTTGTTAATTATCGTCTTCTTGAAATGGATATGTGACTAATTAGAGAGAGCAGATACAATGGTTCCTTAGCAAATACGTACTTAGTATCAGCCAATTCTATTTAAGTTTTAGGTTCTCTTGTATACTAACAAATCTCTTCCCAAAATTAATTATATGATAAATCCGAAAATTCTTTCATATATTGATGTTTTTTTAAACTAATATGATGAAATGAATCAGCAACCAAAAGCTCCTGCATGGTTAAGACTTAACTAGGGCCCATTTAGTTCACTGATTCGAGTTGAGATGTGATTTTATGTGAGAGCTTTTTACTGTAGCAAAAAAGTTAGATGTGATTGTTTGTGAGAGCTTTTTACTATAGTAAAACTCGAATTCTAAACTCAAATCAGCGAAATGAACGGGCCCTAGAGTGTTTGTTTAGCAAAACGAGGAGTAAGAAAAAAAAAGTTATAAAATAGCCACGTCAACAATTTAGTTGGCTAAAATAGAAGTGTCTTCCTTTAAGAAATGCATAATAAAGTCAAAATTATGTGTCTAGAATTTATTGATAGAAGAATTATTTTTTAATTAAGATTATTCTAACATATATATATGTAATAATTTTTATTTATTAAATATAGAGAATTATTAGTTTAAAAAGGGTAAAGTCTAATTTATACACATATTTTCTATCTCCGTCATTGTTGGAATAGTTTTATGGCATACGAGAAAACTAATGGAAAAAGGTGGACAAAAGAGAGAAGAAATTAAGAAAAAGTTTTGTCTCATTTGAAATATAATAAAAAAAAATAAAACATTTATTAGTGGCTAAACATACCGCTATTACCTGATTTATGATTTATTTGTTCGTGTCTGATTGAAGCAAAGAAGAACTCGTCTTTCAATGAGTTTCACTCCAAAATGCTCTTTAATTGAATCTGAGAGCCCGTTTGGTTCATGGATTAGAACCATGAGATTAGAACTATTTTTGAATCAAAAGTTACTATGAATCATGATTCGAATTAGAGAACGAATCCTCCAACTAAATGGACTCTCAATCTTAGGTAGAGAATTCGAACTTACTTTCATTAGTTGAAACTTTACCCCATTTTGACTTTGTTGCCTATTTCAAAAGTTACCACTTCAAACTTTAAACAAGTTTCACTTAACCTATTTTATTACAATTACCATTAAAAAAAAGCTAAATATGCCGATTGAATTGGGTACAGTAAATAGATCATACTTTCTTTTTAATGGAACATAACATTAAAAAGGGATTATTCCATTTATCTTCAACGAGAATTCTAATTAAAGAGGTTAAATGAGATTATATAAGAGCTTTTAAAATATTGAAAGGCAAAGTGGGAATGAGTATAAACTATGAAGTTTCGGGTGCGAAAAACAAAAAAAAAACAAAAAAACTAACATTAAAGACAAGCATGAAATTACTACTCGACTAAACTTAAAACTGTATAAATAGACACGTATTCCACTACTCTTGCTTGAGAATTGAGATGCATTTTGCGAACGTGTTTCTTGTTGTTTTGGTTTCTTTTGAATTAGATGTCACAGTTTTATTTTTAACTCATTACTGTAATGATTTTCCGTCATTTATAACTCTTTTCAAATCATTTGCAATTCACAATACGTTGTTTGAGAAGCTGTTTTAAGTCTATAAATTTTGACAGTGTGTCAGGCATATTATGGTTTTTGAGTGTTGCTAAACGACATCAACGGGAACACAATCTTTAATGTCTATTTTTTTTTAGGGGATTCTCTATTAAGTCTAGAAATATTGATCCAAGTTTTTTTTTTTTTTTTAAAAAACTTTGAACTCTACGCCTTAAAATGGAGTTAACGAAATATACACTTTAGTAGTTGCACTAAGCAATGGCTGAGTGGGGACAACTGCCCCTACTGGTCTAAGGTGACCCCCTTTAATTTTGCCTCAATTACATTAATTTTTACATTTTTTCCTCTTAATTCGCCCCCGCCTGAATTTTTCTGATTATGATATTTTTATAAAATTTTCAAAACATTTCAAACATGCCCTAAATTTTAACTTTTAAGTGTATCATATTTCAAACTTAAATTGCTAAATAGGTAAATAATCAATAAAATTAATGTATAAGTTCACAATTTTTTAGACTGTAGACTTTAAAAGGTGAATTAAATTCAATTAAAAGCTTGATTCATATACATTAAAAAAACACACAACTAATTAAAATAATATAAACTGTCCTATTATTTTAGTTTAAGCTTTAGTTTTACTCGTGCTCCCACTGGAAAAATGTCTCCTGGCTTCGTCAATGGTACTAAGTCTGGTAATATTGATTCTAATTTTTTAAGATGAAGTCGGGAGTAATATTACAGCTAAATTATGACTGCGACTACAATTTCATGTAGTTAATTAGCATTAAAAACTGCTTTTAAAAATATTAGCATTAAGAACATCCATTGCCTTATTATTGCACCCAAAACATCAGTGACACCAAGATTTCATCACCTCATGCATTTATATCTCATTCATTTCACCAATTTGAATTTTCAGTTCTAGGTTTTTACAGTAGAAAACTCTTAGAAAATGTCACATCTAACTTTTTCTGCTACAGTAAAAAATTTTTAAAAAATATCACATTTTAACTCGAATTAAAAACTCTAATTTGCGAAATGAATGGGGTGTGACAAATCTCAGCACCAAAACTCAACCTCATGGCCAGAGTATCGTAAACAACCCCTTTTTTAATTTGCTGAAATGCCCCTATTGCAGTCCACATCTCTTACTCCTCAACATGGCCGAGCAAAAATACCTGTAGTTCTGTACCCACTACTCTCACCCAAGAAATACAAGTTCTGGGCCTTAACTTCCAGAACAGGCCCATTAGCAAAAGCCCAAATTCGGAAGCTACCCAAACTGAAGAAGGCCTGGACAAACAATCCTCAAGCCCGTGCATACATTCATATAGAGTTTAATGTCTATACATACGTACATACACACATACATACATACATACATATATCCATATATATATATATATATAAATTCAGGGCCGGGATTTGATCTCTACAAGTTAAAGTAAAATTAGATGTGGATTTATTATTAGTCTATACATGCAAATCACGTATGAGTTTAATGTTAGTATTTTCATGTGTGATAATGGTGGAAATTAGGAAGGTTCAAAATCTTGAAGAAAAGAAACGGAAAAGAAAGACAGATCCGTGACATGGGAAGCTATGGTAGCATCTAAAGTCAACTATAATTTCTGGAGTATTTTGAAGATATGAAGGAAGCTGGAAACAGATTGAAAGGTTGATTTTCTTACTTTCTTTAGTGACTTGCCATATTTGTACTAGTTAATCTGTCTTTCACTTGAAAAAATATACGGCGCATTTAGAATTAGTTTTAAAATATTTTTTTAATAAAAAATAAAAATAAGATTATTTTGAGAATTATTTTAAAATTGATTCTGAAATTACATTTTTAATTAGTTTTTTAAGAGATTATTTTAAGTATAATAAAAAAATAAAATCATGTTTATTAATTAATGTATTATAATATTGTTGATAAGTATTAAAAAATAAAAATAGAAAAGTGAAAATAACTTTCAACTGTTTTCTAATTCTTTTATAAAAAGCATTCTCACTGTTTCGTTTTCATTTTCGTTTTTAAAATATTTGCTAAATAAACGTCGTTTCGTTTTCATTTTTATTTTTTACTTATCAAAATACGTGAAAATTGTTTTTAAAAACGGTTCCAAACACACACAAATTGTCCTGTTTTCGCTGTTAAAGCTTTTCTCATTTACCCTCACTTTAATCTCACGTGCCTGACCGTCAAAAGAGAGACAAATTGTACTAAAAGAAGCATCATGATAAGAACTATGCCTAACAAACTTTGGACTAAGGAACACTTGATCATGCGCCGGAAGCGGCACAATCCTTAGGAGCAAAATACAAGTTGTAGGCACGAGTATCGAATATGAAACGGTGATCAACCTGCTGGAATGCCCCTATGATGCTCAGCTTACCTTGCCCCATATCAGTTGGCATCATTGCCAAGCAAAATAATCTTTGCCCCGACTCTGTTTCTTCAAAAATATAGGTACCATGAATGCTGATATCGAGGTCAGCATTGCGAAAGTTGAGCTTTATCCGCGGATATTGGTCGATCCTTAGATTACTTGGAGCTTTATAGCATAGGTCCAACCCAATTTCCCCTTGAATCTTGGTCAGATTGCTGGAGAAGAAGATCTTCTCCAATTCCCTGCTCAGCACAACATAAGTCTCTCTTCTTATGTGAGATATTGCAGCACCGGAGTCCATGGCACACTCGCCGGCATGAGGAATTTTCACAGTATTTGCAATAGTAATGCCTCTCAAGTCCAAGTAGTAAGGCCTACCGGATTTCTTGTGTTGGTAATAAGTGGGGTTACGTATAACTTTTTTCTAATAGTTATGTCTGAACCAAATCTGAGAAACATGTTAGTAGAGACATGATCGGATTCGAACCCCGGGACAAGGCAATAAGAGAAGCGATTAAGGATTTGAGACTTTATTTGCTTCGCAAAAGAATGTTTTCCCCATCCCATGGCTAGGATACCGGCAATAGGGTTGTCTCTAGAGGTTGAAAAATGGAAATTCTTATTATCATTTCCGCAGCCAAAGACCAAACCTTTGATGGTCTCAGGAAACATTAGTCCTATGCGAACCGAAAGTGAAAGTCTCTGTGGCAAGAATTCCTTTCGACGAGGAATCATCCGCGTATTTTCTTGCATAAGAGCAGGCTTTGCGGTTGCATTGGCCTTTGAAGCAAAGAGGGTGTCTGTCACAAGGTAACGGATGATTTAAACTAGAATGGCTATTGGGAAAAGGAGGGTTTGGAAGACGAGTTTCGCATTGAGTCCAAATTAGGTCACTGCCTGTGTCAATGAGGAGGAAGAGTGACTTCTGTGGTGGGCTTGTGGGGGTACTTGGGAGTGTTCCAATGCCTACTTTGGCCATAAAAAGTATGCCCTTTAGACTCATCATCGGCAGGCGGACGGTGGAAGGGTGAGTTACGTAGTGTTGAAGGCGAACATTGGAATGGTTGACTAGCCTTTTCATTCTGTCTTTGTGAGTGAGGCTTTTGCCTGGGAAGAAAGGGGATTCAGGAGAGTCTCTGGGGATGAGTTTGATGCTAAAGCCATTATTGTTAGATGTTGTAGCTTTTCCACAAGGAAGCAAGATTGAGAAGCTGATCAGAAACAAGAAGAGGAGAGGCAGTATTGTCTTGGCTGGTTTCATGGCTAATTTTGCTGAGGCTATTTTCTTCCATTCACCTATATATAGGCATAACAAGAAGCATATGGTAGGAAAAAGGTCAAAAAGTGAATGGAAGTATTGATTTGTTACCTATATATAGGCATAACAAGAAGCATATGGTAGGAAAAAGGTCAAAAAATTAAGACAAATTTTCTTCCATTCACTTAATATCTTGACACTACTTAGTTGATTTATTTAGTAATATAGCAAAATCCATAAAATCCATGTAGATTTGGGGATGCTTTGTTTTGTTTTCCTTGCTGTTTTCATATATGAGCATTTACTGTTGAGCCTTTTATTTCTGTATCCAATTTGGGAATCTCAAAATTAGCCCTTGATGTAGAGTTGAAGTTTCGGTATGGGGAAATTTAGGCTCAAGTTTCATGTTGGATTCTTAGTTCGACGAATTTTTATTTTATTTTTTATTATTTGAAATATAAGATAGAAGGTTAATTTAGTTAAATAACTATATTAGTAAAAAATGTATTAATCAAGATAAAACTCTTAACTCTGGTAAGTTCAATAATTTTCTTTTAATTTTTATTTATATCAGTAATAACAAAACATATTCTATAAGTAACTGATTTTCATTTTCTTTTAATCTTTTTTTTTGGTGGCAAGTTGCAAGAACAACGAGTGTTTTTATATAACGCGTAGATGTTAACCTTCTGTTTTTCCTCAATTCCACCGCGCCAGATACGTGTGAGCAACATGTCGTTTAAATATAATATGTCGTCGTTTTTGGGAGGTACATGAATCGTTAATCGTTTCACTTGCTTAAATAAACGTCGTAACATTCGAATAATCGAAACAAGTTTTGTCTAGTTATCCTCCAGTTCCACTTCCAAGGATTGCGAGCTTTTGTTCTTCAAAATTGCTAACGAAGAAAACGAAATATTATCGTACTCGGCTAACTTTCTTAGCAACATTCCAACTGCGTCCGGATGCTATACTCTTCTCGTCTGCCTTCGTTTTATATTCCCGGCGGTCCGCTCGCCACCTGTTTGATTAATTGCCGCAACCAAGAAATGCCCCAACTTTCACAGAAATTCATACCCGGTCTCAAATATCTCAACATTCATAACCGTAATGGAGCTCTGCACCTGAATTCTATGTTATATCACTCTTCAAAGGAATCCCATGAAGAGCCTTTATCCGCGGAATGGTACGAGAAGGCGTTTCTTAAGATGACGAAACTGGTCCGTCTGTTAAAGAACGTGGACTCCGTCGATGGAAGGCTTGTCGATGTACATGAAGGTTCGGTCATTTTCGATGACCGTGTCGAACAAAAAATGCATACTTTTAAGTCACTTGCTAGAGTCTTTGTTGGGTCTCGTTTGGCTCAGCAAACACTAAAGACTAACATGGTTGCTTTGTCCGAGGGTGAAGGTTGTAAGCCGTTTTTGTGTTTCGGTAAACCTAGTGAAAGAGAACCCGTGATTGTTTCTTCACTTACGCAAGTGAGCAACTTCCTAAACATCACTGCCCAACAAAGGAAGGTCATCCGTTTAACGATTTGCCAGCAAGTTACGCAACACCGCATATGGACGGGGGCGCTTGAGAAGTTACTTAACGGATTAAAACCTGAGTTGGACTTTTTGAACTATCAGTTCCCAAGCAAATGGAGCCTTATGGCTCAACAGATTGTATTCAATTGTCTAAAGTTTTTGCAAGACACGGCCATACCATGTACCGACCTTGATTCCACTTCATGGATGCGGCTTGCGCCTGCAAGAGCGGCTGCTCAATCGTCGGCTCCACAGAAGTGGGAGGATGTTTTTGAGATGTTCAATGATCTCATTGAATGTATAAAAACCGAAAACAGGTTGGTTCATCATGCGGTAAAGCTCGAGTTGATGAAAGAAGGGCTGTCTCAAATTAAGGATGTCTTGATTGATAAAAGCATTGGATACAAGGAAGCTCGGCACCAAGAAAGCTTAGTGCAGAAGAAACTTACCAGGAATTTGGGTTACTCATCCCAGTGTTTGTTCACACTTTTGTTGTATTATCTTTATGGACATGTTAGAGACATTGAAGTTGATTTATGTGGCGGGCTTTATAACAATGGGGATGAGAACAGTTTTTGCTTGTGCATGGGAAGGATTGTGACTTCAGATGAGGAAAAGATGGTCCGGAGTGGGGTTAGACATTTGGATAGGGCTCTTGGGCTTTTCAAGTTTGTGTGGGAAACAGCAGGGAGTAAAGGGGTCTTGGACTTGCAAGGCCATTTATGGTGTGTTGGGGGGGCTGAGGGTAGAATGCTTATTTACAATGGGAAAAAGTTTTTTATACATGGGATCTGTGTTTGATGAAGGTTGTATTGTAAGTTGAAGAGCTATTTTGTATGATTGATTTATTATTCATGAACATTAAGATTTTTCATTTTTGAACTTGGGTAATTCGAACTTGTCACATTATATAGTAAGGTGTGGAATTACCACTAGATAATGCCTGTAACCACTTAATGTATGTTTGGTATATGCCTATATGAGTTCTGCTAGAGTGCAAACACATGATTTTAGTTCTGTTACATTATTTTTCTCTCATAAAAAAATTTAAATTTCAAAAGTCATAATCAAGAACCCTAATTATCCCAAACGGGCCTTAAACTCTTAGATTTGTTGAGTGCAAGTCAAATCCATGCAAATACGACGTTGTTGTGGTGATGTAGATGTTAAAACCTTTTATTTTTATTCGTAAAAATATTGTTAGTATTAGAACTTTTCAAGATGGTGTTTCCAAACCACACAATTAGTTTTAATAGAATGTTACGTGGTGAAACCCAGAGTGTCTAATCTAAATTTTCTATCTCCAATGATTTCTCTAGCTCACATTTTGCTGACACACTCAAATCTACTTCAAAAGCTATTACAATTACAACTAACAACAATGAACGGAAAAAAACATATTTGTAACAGAACACTTTAACCAACTATATATACAATACAAAATGTTTCACGTCGTAACTAACTAGATATCAGATGTCTAAAAGATACTCCAAATCCCTGTCGTACATGTAACGCGTACGTATCTTCATACTTGATATCTTTGTCATATCTGTCGATTGTACCTGTTAGATTGTGTGTGTTAGTTTTTACATTTCACTGTAGAATAAAAGAACTTGTAAACAATCTATATACTTTTAAGCTGCAGGATTAATATGCTAGAAAAAAATTTCTCTAACCTTTCATCTGCAAAAGTTAAGGGGGTTATATCATGCAAAACTCAGTTAAAATCACTTCAACGAAGAACACTTGATGAATAAATATAACTGCAATTTACATACCAGAATTTCAATGACCTATCTTAGCGAAACGTCCTTTAATCCTCGTCCTGCTTTCTGCTCGGACCTTCCGCGATTCATATCTGATGCGCTTTTCATACCTGTTGTTATCGGAGTTGAATGTGTGACATTAGGTTTCTTGTAATCAACAAAACTCTCAAAAGTTTCAAAGCAATAAAAAGATTTTTTGGGCAATTGTTGAGCTCTAAACCATAGAACTGACGCTGGTTTAAAGGATTGGAGATAATACCTCCTTGTTTTTCTCTTCTCCTTGTACCGTGAAATCGCGGTCTCCCTTTCCTGGCTGGTTAATTCGCATGGAAATGTTTTTGGGAAGTCTGGCAAGGCGTTGGAATCAACAGGATGTTGATTATGAGCATCATTAGCATGACTCACACTGTCACCCATCATATCTGAATGCTTCTCAGAATCCCTACAACTTTCTTGAAGACGGCTCGTTGATGACGTTTGAGGAACAACATCTTGATGTACATTCTCACTACTACAATTGATGCACCACTGACATGTGCGAGCCTGCATGAAAAGAAAAATGTTACGGATGCCTTTGTGGGGAAGGCATATGGGAGACGTGGTACACAAGTCAAGCGCTAAGAATGTGAAAGAAGCCAAAGAATAATCTTATGTTTACTAGTATCTTAATTAGGAGAGTCTATTTTTAGCAAGAATTCTAGTTTCCTATTTTCTATAGGAGTAATTTCCTATTTTCTATAAGAGTAATTTCCTATGTAACCTCTATTTAAGGGGGACGAATTTGGAGTAGAAAAACAGAGAAGAATTTTGTTCTAATTATAGAGGTTTAAGACTCTCTCTTTCCAATGAGTCTAAGGTTAGGAGCTCCCTTCGACGAGTTCCAAATATTATTCACCATAGCTTCTTCTCGTGGCAAGCATCGCAACAAAGGAAGGGCTCCATCAACCGCAGTGGATTTTCCCGTGAATCGTCCAATGACCCGATCCATAACTCGAGAACGTAACAAAAAGTTATTCAATTAAATTTTTGTCAAGAAAGCTAGAACTCAATGACACAAAATTGAAAATTCCTCCAAGTGATATTTTCCTTTTATTTTGGCAAGTGAATAAAAAACCACATATCGTAAGAGAAAAAAGGTGCTGAAAATCCACAGATCACACCAAAAATGCTGCTAATTACTGACTTCAGTGTAGTAGATGTTCAGCTCCTTACACTTTACTAGCTTTTCCTTGATCTCACTTAAAAGGAATTGAAAATCGGATTTACAAATAACTCAAACACTCTCTTTTAATACACACACAATAGTATATATATATATATATATATATATCCAATGCTATTAGAATACAAGCAAACTGGCACATACAAGTGCAAAACTCGACTGCTTCACAACATGTTCATTCAAATGAAATGTGGTAATTCCTTTTTGCCTATATCAACCACCCTTAAATTTCAACACTGCCTTATTTCCAGCACTTTTAATTGACAAAACGAGAGATGAAAAACTAGCTAGCGTAAGTAATAACTTTGCATTTTAGAAACAGTTTCACCTCAAATGCTGAAAATGTATTTGGCTCTTCCTCAGCTTCACAATGAGAACCTACGCACATTTTTCCTGGCTGCACTGGATCAGGCACAATGGCTTCAAACCCCAAAAGGGACTCCAAATCCACGTTTTCATAATTCGACGAGTCGGGTTCTTTCTTCGCCAGTTCTCGGAGCTGACTCAGTATTTCCTCCTTGTGTTGCCCACAAACAGCATTTCGATTCTGATTCAACAACAATACCCAGAGCCAAGTCAAAAAATTTGCAACATGGGCAGGCAACTTCAACAACTAATTATCACAGTGACTTCTTGATTCCCAAACAAAAAGAACTGTACAATAATTGGAGCATCTAGAAAACTTTTTACTTTATGGGTAATAATTAGTAGTGTGGTTACCTTATCCAAACTATTTCCAGAAAAGGGACAAAAAATAATTAAGTATTAAAAGTTCTCATAAAGTGCTGGACAAACATGTCCAACGCAAACATAAACAATAAACTAATATAACAAATCTCGACGAAAACGTATAAGTGAAAACTGAAATAAACTTGACACTAATTAAAAACTGGGAAAATAAAATTTTATTTATTTATTTAGTTTTTCGAACTCCTTTTTCTTAGAAAAAAAAAAAAGAAACTTTAAACTAATAATTCACGAAATGGACACTTAAAAGGGAAATAAAAGAAAAGAAAAAGAAGCAACTTTCGAGAGCAAAAGCAATCATAAACAATTAATCATAGCAAAAAGAAAAAAAGAAAAAAAAAGTATTTCCTCTGTTTTTGAGCAACCAAATTGATATAAAACTGCAACAGAAAAGAGAATTATATAAAACCTTAGGCAGAGGAGGAATCCCCATAGCCTGGAAGCTCCGAGACGAATCCGAAACAATCAAATCATCAAGCCCAACAACCGAAGGAACATCCCACATCAACAAATCCGAAGACCGATCAAAAAACCCATTTTCCTCTGCCCAAAACAGACCCTTCTTATCGACATCCTCAAACCCCAGAATCGCCAAAAGCTCCGTCACCGAAGGGCAGCCATTGAAACCCTCAAGAGGCCTCCTGTGGTGGACCACCGAAACGGTGTCGTTGTGCCTCTCCCAGTCGCAGTTCTGGCAGAGAACGGAGCTCTCCGCGGTGCAGAAAATGGATGCCGGCGCGTCGTCGCACGCGTCGCAGAGCTGCGACCGCGCGTGCTTCGCGAACAGCTGGTTCGTGCCATGGACTTCCCGGTCACACGAGAAGCAGAGCTTCGCCGAGTCCGCCCGGCAGTACAGCACCGCCGTCGTGTCGTCGCAGTAGTCGCAGAGACGCCGTTGAGAGCTCGTCGTCATGGCGTTGTTTGGTATCGTTTTCTCAAGAAGACGAGAGATTTGTCGCCGAAAGTGGACGACATAAAAAAAAACAGCTTCAACTCAGTGAGTCGAGTTGGTTTAGTTCATGTGTGCATGATAATGATGAAGTGAAAAAGAGAGTATCTATCAAGGACAAAACACGAGTCGCGTTTCTTGCTGAGCAAGAAGTATTTTTTGGGCTCTTGTGATAACTGATAAGACAGCGATTTTTTTGTCTTTTTTCCTTTTCTTTTCTGAGACTTTGTGCAGCCGGGGTCCTACCGGTTGGAGCAATTTAAGGGGTGATTTTTTTTAGTATAATTTGAGTGTAATTTTTAAATTGAATTTGAGTTGAAGTTGTAACTTAAATAAAGTTGAGGGAAGTTGAATAAAGTTAAAACTTAAAAAAATGTGAACTTAAATAAAATTAAAACTTGAGTTATCTTTTTTTGAGTTTTTTAGACAAAAGAACATGCCCTTAGATTTCACATTAACGGATTGAGCTCATGTCCTTTATTTGCGTCCACTTTCGTGTCCCCCAATAAAATCATGCTAATCAGTTTAAAAGTTTTGGGGCCCGTTTAGTTCGCTGATTCGAATTTTTAATTTGAGTTGATATGTGATTTTATGTGAGATAAAATTTAAATTTTTTATAAGAAAAAAATATTATAAAAAATTATAAATTATGATTTAAAATTAAAGATGGATATATGAAATAAATATTTTTTTATATTTTAACATAATAAAGACGATATTAATTTAACAATTTTAATTTTTATGTTTTCGTCATATAATAATAAGAAAAGTTATCGTCTCACTTCTTTATAGTAATAGTAAGTTTATTTTGTTAGGTTTAATTTTATGCGGTATTATGAGTGATTTTAGTGTTTTGAGTTTTTTGATCTCGATCGACTGGTTTTATCATCGACTGTAGTAGTTTTATTAAACAAGTTTTTATCGCGTTTGATTGTTAATGTGGCGAGCGGATATTTTTTAATTAGGACTCGACACTCGTATTTACTTTTGTGCCTCATTTGTCTTTATTGGTGGATCTAATTTGTATGTGTAGTCAAATACCCTTATATTTGGTGGTCATTTGCGACTATTTTAAAGTTTATATTGACGTAATTATTAAATGAAATTTCCTCATTAAAAAAATGAACAGTTTTTAATATAAATTTAACAGTTAAAAATAAAAAATTACCTAATTCATTTTTTCTAATCTTAGAAAAACTCCCCTCTTATATACGTATTTTTTACCTCATTAAAAGAAGAAGTTTTTACGACGGAGCAAGTTATTTTACTTTACTAATAAGACTATATTTTTTATGATGGATTAATTTTTTAACCGTCATATCTATATAGTAGAAATAAATTTTTAATACGAATTTATATAAATCTGTTGAAATAAACATTTTTTTATATTTTAACATAATAAAGACGATATTAATTTAACAATTTTAATTTTTATGTTTTCGTCATATAATAATAATAAGAAAAGTTATCGTCTCACTTCTTTATAGTAATAGTAAGTTTATTTTGTTAGGTTTAATTTTATGCGGTATTGTGAGTGATTTTAGTGTTTTGAGTTTTTTTGATCTTGATCGACTGGTTTTATCATCAACTGTAGTAGTTTTATTAAACAAGTTTTTATCGCGCTTGATTGTTAATGTGGCAAGCGGATATTTTTTAATTAAGACTCGACACTCGTATTTACTTTTGTGCCTCATTTGTCTTTATTGGTAGATCTAATTTGTATGTGTAGTCAAATACCCTTATATTTGGTGGTCATTTGTGACTATTTTAAAGTCTATATTGACGTAATTATTAAATGAAATTTCCTCATTAAAAAATGAACAGTTTTTAATATAAATTTAACAGTTGAAAATAAAAAATTACCTAATTCATTTTTTCTAGTCTTAGAAAAACTCCCCTCTTATATACGTATTTTTTACCTCATTAAAAGAAGAAGTTTTTACGACGGAGCAAGTTATTTTACTTTACTAATAAGACTATATTTTTTATGATGGATTAATTTTTTAACCGTCATATCTATATAGTAGAAATAAATTTTTAATACGAATTTATATAAATCTGTCTGTTAAAAAATTAATTTAAAAATTAAAAATAACTGTCCTCACAGGACAAAATAACATGGTCCCCTAAAAGAAAAGTCAAAAGGGGTAAGATCTGATTCATCTTAACTGAACCTCTTGGAATGGAAAGTGGTCACGTTTGTTTATTTATTATTGCCATCAAACTATTATAAAAATGAATAGTAATCCTGCTTCAACACAAACAATAGAAGTGTCAAAAAATGACAACATGCAAAAATCGATCAAAATTAAATTAAGTTGGGATTTTTTTCCTCGTGAAATTAAATTGGTTGATTTTTGTTTTGTTTTTATTAATTTGGGTTTAGTGATTTTGATTTTTTTAGACCAAAGAAACCGACCAATAATAGTAAAAACAGCTTAATGCTATATTATGTTTTTATGATCTAATCAAAATTTTTGAAAAGATTAGCGGTTAATTTTACAAGATCGACTAATCTTTTGTGTCAAAATGTATATTGGCTACAAATTTAAACCAACAAAACCTATTTATGAATGATTTCGTTTGGTTTCTATTGAAAATTTTAACCTAACTAAAAAAATTGATGGTTTTCTGGCATTTTCGTGAGAGAGAGAGAGAGAGAGAGAGAGAGAGAGAGAATAGTCCTTATTGGATTTTTTTTTTGGTTCTAATCAAATGCAATCCTTATTGGAATTTATTCCTAACAGTTACTTCCGAACTACCATTTGGTGAAGGTTGATCTCATTCTTAGCTGCCTGTCCTTCCAACATTATTGTGCATGTCCGAAACAAGGTAAATTCCAAGTTCCACTTTTGCCCAGGGCAAGAGCTTCATGGTTGAAAATGATGTGCGATATTATGTATCCTTTTTTTTTTTTTTTTGGTGGGTAACACTTTTTATAATTGCACGCTTCTGAGTTTTTTTTCTTAAAAGAAAAAATTACGTCTTTCAAACATTTTGATAACTATCATTGCACATATATTTTTTAGGGAGTTTCTTCGGTAAAGATCAAAAAAATAAATTATCAGTAGTTTTTTATTTTCATCTGTCACGTTTATATAAAAAATTATCTGTTATATATATAATTTTTTTTAATTTGATTTGATTTTAATCAAATTTAACAGTAAAAAAAACTAATTCTACGACAATCTAACAGAAAAAACTCTCATATTTTCAAATAGATTTGTACTTTAAATTGAGTCTTTTAGGCCTCATTAATTTAAAGCGTGTTGGTTTAAATTGTGACGTTGAAACTTTGCTTCCAATTATGAGAGCTTAGGGGAATGTTGATTAGAGACCCTTTTATTTTTCTAGTTTAAATGTGAGGACTTTTTTCGGTTCGTCAACATATCATAAGTCAAGTTTTTTATTAGTCAGATATATATAAAATCATGTAAACGTTAAAAAATATATAAATTTAACGATTAAAAACCCGACTTATCAGTACGCTAGACGTACTAAAAAATCTCCTTAAATACGACTGTAACATGAAATATATATACGTGTATATGTAATAGGACTTTTATTTCATATAATAATAAAAATAATAATCAGATAAATAAATTTTGTCATTAATAAAATGCCTACGTTTTCATACCCAGAAAGAAAAATTAAAATTTTGAAAGCAAAATGTTCTATCCTAGACGAAAAATGATGTGGTTTGAGGGAAACTTTTTATTCCTAAATACCGGAAGGGCAAGCCGCCTATCAGCTAAAAGAACCTGCTCGAAATCTAGGTGGCAAGAAAAGTCTGCTTAGCGAATCATTAAAAAGATTTTTGTGTATGTATTTTGTCGTCATTATGTTATAAGGATAGCTCATATGTGGATCGTAATTCATAATCCCATCTCCACCTTCATGAAATCATAAGTAAATGAATTATATATTTATTTTGTACATTTTCTGAACCTGCAGGGTTTTGATAAATTTGGACTCAGATTTTTTATCTAATTTTAATTTCTCAATTTGTGTCTAACTAATCATATTATACTATATCGTGAAAAGAATTTGAACTGGTTTTTAATTAATTTTTTTTGCTTATGATGAGATAATTTAACGTGATATGATTGGTTAAATACTGATCACGACACTAAAAATTAAACAGAAGATCTAGATTCGATAAACATACCTTATGAACTTTTAATTTTAATAATTTACCCCTTCACCCCAAATTTGTAAACTAATTATAATATCTTTATTTTGATAATAATTGTGTTAAATTGGTGACGAAAAAGCAACTTCAATGAAAAAATTTGACCAAAAAAATCAGAATAAGATTAATAAAATGGATACCTTGCAACAGCTTTGCAAATAGAGGGGTACATTGCAAAAAGATTACAAAATTAGGGGGTAAATATGCAAAATAATAATAAAAAAAAAGATCATAGTAATATGAATGGCCCTCTAGCGGACAACGAAATCAACTAACTACCAAAAAGCGTACAACGAAATGAATACGTCATAAAATAGAAAATGCCTACACATAGTTCATCCCTGTTACTCAGCCCCACATGAAGGTCATCACTCATCAGCTTCCTAGAAATCTCTTCTTGGGCTTTGCCCCAGTGAAAGAGAATGAGTTGTGAGTCTTGTGACCCTTGGTTTTGTCCTATTCTCCGATGCAACCTAACTGGAATGCATGAATTAAAAATCTTTGGCTTGGTACATGTGGATCATTCATGAGATGTTTATTTTAAAGATTCGTCTTTAATTTTAATTATTATTTTTAATTTTTTATTATGTTTTTCTCTTATAAAAAATTTAAATTTTAAAAATTAAAATAATAAATCATGATTTTAAATTTATGAACTAAACGTCTAACATTAACAGATAATAAGAAAAATCAAACACTTGTTGTCTCTAATTGTAAAGGCAAGCTCTGTTCTCTACCATGACTAGGCATGTCTCTTCACAAAATCCAACAAGTGGTGTGATGGTGTAATGCCTCTAGTCTTGCCCAAGACTTGAAAATAAAAATAAATAAATGATTGAGAAAAAGGGAATATGGATGGGAAGAAGAATAAAGATTTAAGAAGAATAAAGATTTAAGGTGACTTGGTAATATACCTACATTCACGGATAAAGAATACATTTTTCATTCATTATTCACTTATACTATTACAAAGGTTGTACATGAATATATATAAGAATGATCATGAATATATATATATATATATATGGATGATCCTAAGAATAGAAGTTGTCAATCAATCAATTAGATTACCAATTATGTTACTAATCAATCTCTTACCTCCCTTTTGGTAAAGGAATTCGTTCCCTGATTTGAATCATAATTCGTGGTTCGTTACAGTATTTTTTCTCACAAAAAATACACGTAAATCGAAAATGATTCTAATAACATGGTTCTAATCCATTAACCAAATCTATAGGATCCATGCACACCTATCAATGAATCTAAAAAATGGAAAGCGTCCTAAAGGAAAATGGCAATCATTTGAAATGTTAAACCCCAAGTTCTCTATTAGAAGAAAAGCAAGTGACAAGATTCTTCTCCACCATCGACATTTTTTCCCAAATCACAAGGCAAACAATAGCTTATTTTCAGCCAATCGAAAGAAGATAAGAAAGCAAACACATCGATTGAACAATAATCTCACCAAGTCTCTTATTTCATGTCATATGGTATAAACCAACAATATGAATATGTTATGAGAGAAACAATGCAAGAATGAAATGGGAAGCTTTGATTTTTAATTTTTTTTCTTCCCCTTCGCTTTATGAAGGCAAAAAAATTCCTGTAATGTTGAGTGACTTTGTCTTCATCAGTTGAGTATCTCATTCGCAATTCGGGGTTGAAATCCTGCGAGTGTTGTATGAGCCACATTCGTTGCACTTATGCCCTAAAATGTGAAAGGAGGCTTTGCTTTTTGTGTTGCAGTCATTGCAGAGGATTGAAACCTGTAAAGGACCATGTAACTACGTTATTTTGTGGAACAACTTGCCAAATAGAATTTCCATATGGCAAAGTTACTAATCTGCCTGGTGTTTAGGATGTTAGATTACTAATCTGGCTGATCTTTGGGAATAGGTTGAAAATATTCAATAGAAGACCATATAGGAAAATTACTAATCTGCATGATCTTTCGAAAGTCCGTAGATTATATCTACCTAAAAATGCATAATAGATTCAAATGGAAAATTTACCAAATGAACAAACTCATTAACTGGACTATTCACAAATGTACTTTTATTGGGACTGAAAGGTTGTAATTCCTAGATTAACGTGCACGTGAAAAGCTGAGAGAATATGATGCAAGCATGATCATCTGCATGATTATAGTAAGCCGACTTAAGACACGTAAAATGAATGAAGAAACCACCTCATACTTGTATTCGTCAGGCATGGACATGGCTTCAATCTGTCTCGCCAACAAAATAATAACAGTGGTTAATGTAGAATAATAGCATTTAGTACAACGTTAAGCAGGCGGAAGAAACTAATATCAGAAGCAACGATCAAAGTCGTAAAATCAGTGAGGCTACCTTTTTTTTCAGCAGGATGGCAGAGAAACTAGCTAAAATGAATTTCTAACAAACATGAAAAGATGGAGCTAATACTAAACAAGTGTTTTCCTAATGCAGGGATACAAAGAATATAGCTACGATTTTACGTATTGAGCCATTATATGATAAAGACAAATTAACAGAAGCATGAATGGAATAAGGGGGTTCAAAGGATGTTACAAGAATCAGTGTACCCATGCATCCTCGTTGACAAAAGGAGCATTATCAAGATCCGAAAGCTAAATAGCTTCTACTGATTTTTCAACACCAGATCCAGTAACAATTCAAAATGAAAGACAAACTACAAACAAATTTTCGGAAACTATTTTTTTTTTTTTTTAAATCCTCTATAGATTTAGCTTTTTTCAGCAGATAATTTAAAGAAACCAAAAGGGAAATACAAATGTAAGAGCACAACCATCAGTTATTGGGAGCATCCATTAAAGCCATTTGGTTTATACTTTACTAAATTTGTGAATGTAGAAATAGTTTTTTCCCAAAAAACACTTTACTAAAGGCAATTCCGTGTGACATATCTTTTGGACGCTATATAAGTAACAGAACAAGGATCAATTACAGCAGATAATTTGACGTACAGTATAATGACCAAGGAAAGTATCGAAGAGCATAAAAGAAAAGTCACACCTCCGCATCCAACAACCTCCATTGGTTAGACATATCAAACACCGTCTTGGAGCAAATGGGACAACGATATCTAGATGATGAATTCAACAAGAATTCAAACAATGAGCAATATTTTTACTTGCAAAAAACAAAAACAAAAAAGTATATACAAAAATTAACCTAAAAGAAATTGAAACTCAACTGATGTTGATTTGCCATCTCACTGTAGCACTCTGTGTGCATTGTGTGTCCACACTTCATAATTATAGCTCCTTTAACCGAGTCAAACAGATACTGTAAGAACAATACAAGTTCTCAGAACATTTCATTTCTTGTAACTTTAAAATAAATGCAGGACAGGGTAAAAGAACAAACCTCATAACAAACAGGGCAAGAACACTTCATTGAGTTTTCTATGCATGGGTGGTTATCGCGTAGACCCACAGTATAGCAAGAACCTATGAGGACAAAAAAGAAATATCACAAAAAAAATGTAAAGCTTAAAGGTGTAAAACCATCTCCAACGCAAATGGAAGATGCCGATGCTGTTGTATAGCAAGAACCTATGACAAAAAAGAAATATCACAAAAAACATGTAAAGCTTAAAGGTATAAAACCATCTCCAACACAAAAGGCAAATGCCAGAGATAAAAAACGAGATATTGGATATCTTGTTCTATTTTGTGCCACAATGCATAATGCTATTCCAAATGCTATATATACCTTTTGCATAAATTATAAGCTTTGGAACTTGAAAAGCCATGCTTTTGATTTTTACATAATTCAAAAATGACAATGTTGTATGTTAAGCCCAAGCCCCTACAGACTCATGTTAGGCGTAGGATTAGGAGGGCAGATTAGTCTTTTGGTATTTTATGGATTTAGGACTTTAGTATAAAGAGAGCATTAGCAAGTTAATTATGTTTATGTTGAGTTTTGTCAAGTTATTAGGAATAATTAGGAGTTTTGGAGAGATTGACCTACTTCTCGAATTGTAAGTCAGGATTTGTCTTTCAGTTGATTTGATTAATAATAATAAGCCCTAATTCAGCCCTAATCCAAATTGATTCTTCTCTGAAACCTATCCAATTGGTATCAGAGCAAAATCCTGTGACAATGGCAGCGAAGAAGATGGACGCGCTTGAAGAAAAATTAAAAACGGAGGTTGGATCGCTCAAGACCACCATTGACGAGTGATTTAACACCGTCCAACAACAGTTTTCGTCCCTTGAGGCCATGTTGCTGAAATTAACGAAGCTCCACCTCAACCCACCACCGGCAGCAGCGACGAGGGTAAATCTCTCCAAAACTCCTAATTATTCCTAATAACTTGACAAAACTCAGCATAAAGATAATTAACTTGCTAATGCCCTCTTTATACTAAATCCCTAAATCCATAAAATACCAAAAGACTAATTTGCCCCCCTAACCCTCCGCCTAACATAAGTCTGTAGGGGCTTGGGCTTAACATTACTCCCCTCCCAATGAGACACCTTGTCCTCAAGGCGGAACAAAGGAAACTGCTCCTGAATCAAGTCAAATGGTTCCCACGTCGCTTCATAGTCTGGCAAATCCTTCCATCTAATTAGCACCTCTTTATCGCCCGATTGTCTTTACAGCCCTTGGCGCACGCCTTCTAAAGCAGTTGGTTCCAACACAACCTCCATATCTTCAGTCAACGTAGGCAGTAGTAAAGGAGAGGGTGTATGGTCTCCAATAGCCCATCTCAATTGAGACACATGAAACACCGGATGAATCGCCGAAGAGGGTGGCAACCTCAAACGATTAGCCACCTCGCCAATCCTCTCTATAATCTCATAAGGCCCAAAATCCCAAGGAGAGAGCTTCTCATTCCTCCGCCGCGCCAAGGTCTTCTGCCGATATGGTCGAAGCTTTAAGCATACCCGGTCCCCCACCGCCCTCCTATGACCATCAGCTTGCTTCTTCAAAATCTGCCGAGCCTTAGACAAATGCCTCTTCAACTCTTCCAACATTCTATCCCTTTCTTCTAAGTACTGATCCACCTGCGACACAGGTGTCGTGCTATGCCCATAATGCACCAAATGTGGCGGGTCCCGTCCATATAAGATCTTAAAAGGAGTGGTCTGTGAAGCAGTATGGTAAGAGGTATTGTACCAATACTCAGCCCACGCCAACCACTTTGCCCACTACTTGGGTGTATCTGACACAAAACACTGCAGATAAATCTCCACACTGCGATTGACTACCTCAGTCTGCCCGTCGGTCTGCAGATGATAAGCCGTGCTCCTTTTCAACACCGTCCCCTGCATCTTAAACAACTCTCTCCAAAAATGGCTCAAAAAGACCTTATCCCGGTCCGTTACTATCGACCCTGGAATCCCGTGTAAACGCACCACCTCTCGCATAAAGGCTGCCGCCACTGTCACCGCGGTATAAGGGTGTCGCAAGGGTATGAAGTGAGCATACTTACTCAGACAATCAACCACCACCAATATCACCGTAAACCTATCCCCTCAATGAAATCCATCGTCACCTCCTCCCAAACCTTATCCGGTAGTGATAAAGGTTGCAGTAACCCTCCTGCACCATTGCCTGGTATTTGTGACGCTGATACACATCGCACCTAGCTACCATGTCCTCCACATCATTCTTCATTCCCACCCAATACAACTCAGCTCCCAAGCGCCGGTAAGTCTTAAGAACCCCGGAGTGACCCCCAACCGCACTCCCATGAAACTCCAGCTGGGGCGATGTTCTCGGCAAAACGAGACGCCCCTGGTATAACACTCACTGCCCCTCCAAAGAATAGCCCGGATATCCCGTCTGCCCTCGCGCTAACGTAGTTCAGATCTTCTCCAACCCCTCGTCCGCTTCAATATGTCACAGCAGCGCCTCCCAATCCATCACCAACGGCACCGATAACGCTACCAACTGCGGCTCCTCCACCCGTCTCGACAAGGCATCCGATGCCTTATTCCTCAAACATAAAGCCGTCGCCATCAGTTTTTCCCTCTCTGAGAGTCCATTGATGGCGAAATAGTGCTCTACCCTATACACCCATCCATATGCATCCTCGCCTTCGCAAATGGGCATTTTCAGCTACCTTACCCAAGAATCCGCCCCAAATTAGGTCTGCCCCGCCCAATTTCGCGCCATTGGAGGCCTCCAACCTCCCGATTCTCCTCCACTCTCCATAAATCCGGAAGACCCAGCCCAAAATCCTCCTTGCCCAGCCCCAAATTGAGCTGACAACCCTTGCCCAACCGCAATCCCTTCATACCCGCTTCCCCTCTCACCGGAAACCCCTCCTCCCGGCTGTATGCCCCCAAATCCGCCCTGCCCAGGCCCGGATCCACCCTGCCTAGGCCCGGAATCACCCCAAAACGGCGCTGAGATGCCGTGCCCAGCCACCCCCGGCCCTGGCGCGCCCTAAGGCGGCGCCGAAATGCCGGACCCCAACGCCCATAGCCTTAGGCCGCCTCCTCCAGCAGTGAAACCCTCTGATCAGCCGCCCCCAGCCGCGACCAAGCCTCCCCCACCGCACCCAATGCCGAGGAAAGTCCCCACAAGTCGCACGTCCCTTGGGCCGTCCTCCACGCCAGCAGATCTACCGCGGGCCGTTGCCTCTGGCCGCGCGAAACTAGCGATTTCCGGCCCCCTCCCCCTGCACCGTCGCTGACCACGGGTTTCGTACCGCCGGACGCCTCTCCTGCTGCGCCGCCATGGCTCGTCGCTGCTGCCGGTGGTGGGTTGAGGTGGAGCTCCGTTAATTGCAGCAACATGGCCTCAAGGGACGAAAAGTGTTGTTGGACGGTGTTAAATCGATCGTTAATGGTGGTCTTGAGTGATCCAACCTCCGTTTCTAATTTCTCTTCAAGTGCGTCCACCTTCTTCGCTGCCATTGTCGCAGAATTTTGCTCTGATACCAATTTGATAGGTTTCAGAGAAGAATCAATTGGGATTAGGGCTGAACTAGGGCTTATTATTATTAATCAAATCAACTGAAAGACAAATCCTGACCTACAATTCGAGAGGTAGGTCAATCTCTCCAAAACTCCTAATTATTCATAATAACTTGATAAAACTCAGCATAAACATAATTAACTTGCTAATGGCCTCTTTATACTAAAGCCCTAAATCCATAAAATACCAAAAGACTAATCTGCCGCCTAACATAAGTCTGTAGGGGCTTGGGCTTAACATTGTAACAATTAAATGAAAAGTAACACATCAATTAAATTTGGCATATGTTATACTTGGTGCCAGTCTGCCAGATATGCCAAATCTAGTACCAAAAATAGTGTTGCATTTGAGAGGGATTTTCCTACCCAAATGGCAAAATTTGGCATTCGCACATTAATTTGACACTACAATGGAGACGTCTAATATCTAAAACGTATCAAAATGATTTAAGAGGTAATGCTGATGAGCAAATCAAGTTGAAAAGAAAATATGAAGGCTGAGCTAGGTACAAGAGCACATACCGCACTTTTGACAGTGAAAGAAGTTCTCACGACCACCAACTCTGAGAAATCACATAATTATACACTTTTATTGGTTTTTCTTTTGTGCTAATAGAAACTAGGTTACATGGGTAGATGTTGGCAAACAAAAATGAGCTCACTGACCTACAAATCCCACACTCGTCGCAATGAAACTGCTTCTTTTCTGTCTATAATCGAACACCAGTACCACAAAATTAAAATTCCAAAATCCACAAGACATAAAAGAATAACAATATAACATAATATCCCAATATCAAGATGTTTATGTCAAAATGCTCTAAGCAACTAAAAAGGATTGAAACTTATTATTATCTAATTAGTAATTACCTCATCATCATAGAACTTGCAAATGTCGCAAAAATATTCTCCCATTTTAACACCACAATTAGAACAAACTTGAGCAACCTAGAAGAACGAAGCGCAAGCACAAGATGTTTATGTCTGCCCATAGACTCGTTTATTTCTTTTTCTAAATTAACACAATAATCATTTCAAGCGAGAAGTGTAAATCCAACCTGTTGCTCAGTATTGCAGATCGAGCATATAACCTGAAACAACCAATTTCAAAAACTATTCTTCATCAATACAATATATCATTCTATATATACACAAAGGATTAAAAAAAAGTTCTAAAAGGAATCATACTTGCTTAATATCATGCCTGACAATTTCATGATGCTCTTTGGGATTGCTCAGCGAACTCTACAATTCGAAGGCAAAAACAAGAAAAAAGGAAAAAACAAATTACAATATGAATGTATATATATATGCACGCACACATATATATGGGTGTGATTTTATTCATTAATTTTAGTGTTTACTCTAATAAATAATAAGATAGTAATATCACAGTTGTAATAAATTGAGTAGTGAATAAAAAAATTATAATAATTAATAAAATTAAAATTTTATTATGTCACACCGTTAACTTTCTATATATTTAATAGATAAGTAATACTCAGGGAGTGTATTTGGAGCAAAGATATCAAAAATATGGTTCGTAATTCGCTATAATATTTCTAAAAAATATGTGTAAATCAAAAATAGTTCTAATAACTCCTCTTAACCATTGAAAACTCGGAAAAATATAAAAGAAAAGAGGTATAATACCGTGGCCTCGTTGTGACAGTGACGACAGGAAAAGATTTGATCGCAGCAAGGGGCTCGAATCTTGCATCGTCTCTTATAGTGCTCGCACCTGAAAAGCAAGAAACAAAAGGAAAACGACAACAAGAACAGCGCTTGTTAGGCCTCTGGGTTTTCTTTTCTTATTCCCCGTTTTTGGTTTGTTGCTACATAAAAGTGACAAGTAAAAAATAAAAAAAATACCCGTGTTGTAATTTTCCGAAATCTTGTGTATTGACGGCCACGGAATCGGACTCCATTGTTGGCGAGAAGGACCCAACACACGAACTTAGCGATGATTTTTATGGGGACAACCTAAGGATGGTTAAACGACGCCGTTTCTTTCAAAGAAATTTTAAGACCGGATCATCTTTAAGAATTTTTTTTTAAGGATGTTTTTTATAAATACTCAAAGTTTTATAAAATTACAAAAATAACTATTTTTATTGACTAGTGATTAATTATTGATTAATTTAGTTATTAATTATTGATTGACTTAATTTTATTATTGATTAATTTAATTATTTTTTATTATAAATTAACATTAGTTAATAATTAATTAAAATTAATTAATTATTAATTAATTTTAATCAACAAATTACATGTTTATTAATGATAAATCATTAATAAATTAATAATGTATTAATTAATAAATTAATAATGTATCGGTCAATCACTAATTGACTCTGTACCCAACACAATTTCTCTTATTTTTATCTTCATTTTCTATTATATTTCTTTCCCGCCGTTTTGGGTGCGTTTGGAACTCGTTCTAAAATGATTTTGTTTTTTGTATGCAAATGAAAATGAAAACGTTTTTAATCTTAGACATGTTAAAGTATAAAATTATTGTTGGTCCACCTCCTAATAGTTTAAGCTTTTGGGATGGATTGGTAAACTAACATGGTATCAGAGCGGGAGGTCATGAGTTCAAAACCCCGTAATTGCACTCTTTATCCCCATTTAAAATTGTCATCATGTGTTGGGTCTTTAATATATCTCGGGCTTAAATATTCACGTGTTGGGCTTTCTAATTAATTTACCCACATGATTGCCCATTGTTCAGCCCACACGTGAAGGGGAGTGTTAAAGTATAAAACTATTGTTGGTCAACCTCCTAATAGTTTAAGCTTTTGGGATGAGTTGGTAAACTAACACAGAAATCATTTTTGAAAATACGTTTGATAGTTTTATCAAGAGATTGTTTTCAGTGTAAAAAAACCCATTAATATATCTGTTTCTCTTTCTTTGCTCGAGAGAGGAGAAAACGAAAACAAAAAATGAAAAATGACTAAAAGTCATTTTTCATTTCTCTCTCATTTTACACTAAATTAAAAAATAAAAAATAACTAAAAGTCATTTTTGTCTTTATTACGCCAAACGTCGTTTCAAAAACGTTTTTATTTTTCTTTCTTAAAAAACGTAAAAAATAAAGACAGAATCAATTCCAAACACGATCTTTGTTTTTTTGTTTTGTTTTGTTTTTTCATGCCAAAACTACTTCTAATTTCGTTGCAAGATTTTTTTGTTTTTTTTCATCTATGAAGTTCGTACTTTGCCGTGTTATTTATTTATTTATTTCGGTCATTTTTAGACCGAGACTACCAAATGACTAAACCGTAGTTTCACATACTTTTCTCTTTATATAAATAATAATACTAATAATAATAACTATTAATTCTCATTTGTTTACTTTTAAAGGGTTGAGATCAATGGTTGCAGATGTTGCTCAAAGGGGTCAGCAAGTAGCTCGTGAATGAGATTGAAATGTTGTGAAGTGATTTAAGAAAGAAAGAAACAGCTGGAACCCAAGTTAAAATCACACTTCTTTTTTTCTTTTGCCTATGTCAATCTTTGGGCTATTTTGTATGGACACCATTTTAACTTTGCGAGTTTGGCGATTTAGTCTCTTAATTTTTTTTCTTAACAATTCATCTCTTAAATTTTAAAATTTATTGGAATGTTCGTCAAATTGAAAATGAATTTAAAAATTTAGACGATATCTTCCGTATGATGTTTAATAAAAGTAATTAATATCTTTTTTGCATCAAATTGATCCTTATATACGCATCACGAGTGGAATTTTTTTTGAAATTGGGAGTTAACTGTTTTGGGAGAAAAATTTAGGCCCCGTTCATTTCACTAATTCGAGTTTTCAATTTTAGTTTTACTACAGTTAAAAGCCTTTACAAAAAAATCACATTTAACTTTTTCTACTACAGTTAAAAGCTCTTACATAAAGTTACATCTCAGCTCAAATTAAAAATTTGAATTTACGAATTAAACGAGGTTTAAGAGTCCCCCCAATTTGAAATTTTTTTTCATTCATGGTGTGTATAAAGGGTTCAATTCGATGCAAAAAAAATCAGAATTATCCTTATTAAACACTCACGTGGAAGATACTGTCTAAAATTTTAACTTCGTTTTTAATTTGACTAACAATGCAACAAATTTCAAAGTTTAAAGAGTGAATTGCCAAGAAAAAAAGTTAAAGGACCAATTTGCCAAACTCGTGAAATTATGGGGGTATTCATACAAAAAAGCCTCAATCTTGAGGAATTCTCATAAACCATAAACTCCAGCAAATTGTTCAAAGATGGGAAAGATTGATTAGCAATTGGCACGGCTAGTTCTCAAGGTCTATATACACAATCATCTTGTGACTAAAAATAAGTCATATTAAGCAAATTGAGTTCTTTCAATAGTAAATTTCTTCGTTTTATTTTTCTTAGTAAATGCAAGTTAACTATACAGCTTTCAACTCCACAACTCAATAGTTAGATAAATAGTCTAGAAAACTAGCTTGTAAGAACTTCCCGAGAAAGCATAAAACTATTGATGGAAAAGTCAATGTGAAATTTTCAAATGTCACGTGAATTATGTTTCGAGTCGGTTTTGAGACCGAAAAAAGGGAAAATGAAGAAGAAGAAGAAATAAATTTCAAGGAGACAAAAACAGGAGAATCAAATAAGCTCTCTCACACTATCAAACTAAAGGTAAGAGAATTCTGCTAGCTTCTACAGAACACAGCCAACATACAGGAGAAACTAAACATGAATGAATTGAGTAACAGTAAAGCGACTAACATGTGAATAGAGCCGGCGCTTAGATCATTATTGTTGCCGTTGCATCATGAGGGAAAACCACAATGGTGGTACAGTTTCGAAAAAATTGCAGTCTGTTGGCAATAACAGCCAGAAAATATTAAAGGATTGTACATGAACATGAATTCATCTTTTGCATCTCGTCCTGGTTTTTACCTGCACAGAACCCAACAAAGACAGAAAGAAAGAAATCAGAGATGGATGTAAAATGTTAAATCAAGAATTAATGGATGAGTTGATGCAAACTTATGCAAGTACTGCTGTTCTTTTCAACAAAAAAACAAGTCAATGAAAAAGCACGAAATGCGAAATATGATTCATAAAACAACTGGGAAAAACTTGTCAGACTAAAGGGAATGCTAATACAATTGGCAGGTATAACTATGAACATTGACAAACCTGTCTTCTTTTTAGTTATTGTAGGCTGTACAACAACGTGCATGGTAATGACTTCACCAGCTGGGTTACCAAATGTTATTTTAAAGTCAGCGAGTGTCTTCCTGTTCTCTAAAACTCTACCAGCATGTATGAGTTTTACATCATTTACTGACTTTGGTACGATTGTTTTGCCTGTAAAGCAAAGGCTAAGTAACTAAATTCCTTAATGACGTACATATGGGAATGCAGAAAGGGAGCTGAATATTATGCCAGAAAATTCATTGGTGGCCAGATTTTAGCAGAAGCGTTATGATTTCTGAACTTAGCTTATTAGTCATTTTCCAACTAAATATTGAACAACACATTGATAGAATTATCAATCAGGTGGTCTCGATAAAATCTCAAAAGGGAAACTCGGGGAAAACCGAAAAGGTCCTCAAACCAAAATCAAATTCAGAGGAGTATTAGTCAATTGATAGAAACAGTTCTCTGCTTGAAAATGTTGACGTTTATGTTAATCTGTTCTTGAAATTCGACCATGAATATGAAAAACTTAGAAATACACAGAAATATACAACTAACCTTGAGGCCACTCGGCTACAAGTCTTTGCTTAAGAGATGCAATTGTTGTAGACGGGGCATAAGTACTATGGCCTATATCTGTTCCATCAAAAATGCGGAACCTAAGCTCAATAAGTTCCTCTTTTTCGGCCATGATGATCCTTGTCCTCCTTTTGCAAACTTTGAAATCCAACTAACACGAAAAACAGCACTTCTAATCTTCTAATCAAAGCACTCGATCTTGTCCAACGACCCTGCAAAACTCAATGAGTTCAAACTCAATTCAGTAATACTCATGGCTCCTATAAGGAAAAGAAAAAGAAAAAGAAAAGTTGGTAAGAGAAAGGAAAGCTAATGTTTTCAAATGTTGACTTTACGGAACATGAGGCATTAAACCCCATTACTTTAAAACCAATCATTAGCAAGACTAATTCCTAAAACCCAAGCAACTATACAGAAGTAAATTAGCAAACACTATTTATCACCACTGGTAAATTACAAATTCATGTGTCTGACTCTAAGACTCGTACCGATCCACACAATTTTTATATACCAATCTCTAACAGGTTAAAAAATCAGTGGAATGATGTGATAATTAGCCTTTTTCCAAGTAAATTTATATTTCACTTACTAGCGCCCATAAGGAGGATTATCACAAGGTGGAATAATACAAATTTACAAATCTTTTAGCAGTCAAATCAGAAACAAGTACAAAACATAAATTTGGAATATCAAAGTTGTGGTTGCAAGCTTGGCTTAGCCATAATTTCATTCCCACCTCAAAGATATATCTTGAGTCTGAATTCCCCCGCTCCAAATATACATATACATATACATATAAAAATACACATATAGACGAGTTTTTAATGGTTACATTTCCATCGGTCGGTGGTTACCGATCAAATTATATCTATCAAAGTCCATACTGTATCAAGAAAATTCTGTAGAAACGCCGGTTTACTAACCTCTTGGAATCTGCCAAAGATATCTTTCTGGGAAGAAACATGCGATAGCTGGTACATCTGACTTAACGATTTGAGACTCAATTGAACAAACCAAGAAACTCATATGACCAAATTGTTTCAGCTCGTACCGATAACTCTGCAGTAATAAAAATTACAATGCTTAAAAACAAAGAATGCAATGACATAAAAGAAACAGCAACAGAAATCCAAACGACAAAAATGCAATCCACAAGAATCTTATACCTCAATGAAACCTAGAAATCCCTTTTAATTCACGCAAGATTAAAGAAAGAAAATAATTAGAGAAAAATCTTCCGGAACGGGATTTTCACCCACTTGGGCCCACGCCTTTTGCTAAACTAAAGTAGAACAGTTGTAATCAAATTCATTTCATTATTTTCCTTCAGTTTCTCGGCAACCAAACAACCTATAGAAAGAAAATCAACCAAAACTTGAAATCCGAAACGCAAAGAAAGACAAGCAAAAACACTTGCATTGGAGAGAGAGAGAGAGAGAGGGTACCTGATCAAGAATCCATGAGAATGTGAGATTAGGTCAGAGGTCGGAGGAATATGTCAATGGCGATTAGAATTTTCGGATTCTGTGGCGGTAAGATCGAGCGCGCTGAAAGCCAGAGTAGACAGAGTCGGAGGGGGGAGGTGAAAAAGAAAAAAAGGAAAAAGAAAATTGTAACGTTTAGCATTTTTTATATATTTTCTTGGAAAATTACTATTTTTTTGCAAAAATTACTTTTTTTTTTTTTGCAAAAATTTTAAGTTAGTCAGTTTTTGACTGTTAATTATAATTAAAATTAAATTAGATTAAAAACACATATTAATTAATTTTTAATATGAATTTTACAGTTAAAAATATAAAATAATCATCTATGTTTTTAACTCTATTCTTAAAATTTTATCAGCCTGAAAAATATTTTTTTTTCCTGCAAAGGAAATAATATCCATTTGATAAAGAGAGAAAAACAAGATGCTGATAAAAAATGGCGAAATGTTTTTTTTCTTATAATTAAAAATGTCGAGTGTTGCCTTTATATTATATAGTGTCGTGTTTTTACACTGTCATTTTTCTATATTGTCGTTGTCCTTTGTTTAAATGTTGTCGTTTATTAATTTTTTGTCTTTTTTTTTTGTGTGAAGATGATGTGCTTTTTGGATCTTGTCGTTTTTTGTAGTCGTTTCATGCACTGATAATATGTTTTTTTATTTGTTCTTGTTTATTTGCGATGCTGAAGTTTTAAAGATATTGCCGTTTAAGACGATGAGGTCGTTTTGGTAATATCCTGTCGTATAACGGTGAGCCAGGCGGATTACACCAATGGCAACTTGGCAATTAGAATTTTCAGATTCTGTGGAGATAAGATCAAGTGCCTAGAGAGCCACAGTGGACTGAAGCAGAGAGGTGAAGAGTGAATAGAGAAAAAGGAAAAAAAAATGTTACCATTTTAACGTCATCTTTTCCAGTTTTGGAATTTATTCATAAAGATATTCGTAATGATAATGCATATTTTTAATAGTTAAATATGATCAAAATAAAATTATAAAAAATTAACAGAAACTTATATATATACCACTAAGGTATTTTTTTTTTCATACCAAACCATAAAATTCTCCTTTATTTTTTATTTTCTCATTTTTCCCTAGCTATTTTAGTCCTAAGCCAAAAAAGAATTTTCCAATATTTACTTATTTTGTAGACCAATCTGAATATAAGATCCAGTTGAAAAAGAAACAAAATTGAGATGGAGATGAAAATGTCCAGATACTGTCGTTTTTTGATTTAACATCGTTTACTTTAGATACTGTCGTTTTTATACAGTCGTTTCAAAAGATGCTGTCGTTTTCTTTATTTATCGTCTTTTACTTTTGTTGTTGGTGATGTGGTTTTCTGGATAGCTATCTGTCGTTTTTTTTTTTTATGTTGTCTTTAACATATTAGCATTTTAAATTTGTTGTCATTAATTTAAGATGTTGTTTTCATGATATTTTTATTTCATTTTCCTCATATCTTGCATTCTTGCTGTATTTATAAGATGCTGTCATTGTATTCCTATCCTGCTCTTGCTAAAAGAATGTTGTTCCAAGATACTTAAAATGTTGTCCTTTAATAAAAGCGATGTCGTTTTATCATATTGTTGTTATGAAATTTTCATTTCTTGCAACGAGAATTTCCTAGTATGATGTCGTTTTAGTACTCTTTTTTTCAATGACGTCTTTTTATATACCGGTCTTCGTTTTAAGATTCCGTCGTTTCCGATGATGTTGTCGTTTCGTCAAGATGTCGTTATGATGACTTGTCAAAAGTACCTTTTACATTACTTGCATGATTCACCTGCAAGGCAATACCTTCCCCATATCGCCGTCATCACACCTGTTCCTTTCGACCCATCTTTTGCCACGCCCACAAAAGCGAAACAGAATAATTCTAGTCCCTAGACATTGACATCCAAAACGCCTTTGATCGTTGCTATTTCTGCTTATTAAAGACCAGAAGATGAATCTAAGAAGAACAAACATAGAATGATAGAAAAAGAAAAAAAAAAAAAAAAAACACTGAATGACATAAAATCTATAGTAGGAAATAGAGAACCAAAAAAAAAAAAAAATCAAAGATTTTATGGCTTATCGTTCCTTATTGTTCATTCAAACAATGAAAAGTGAGGGCCATTTTCAGTATATTTTTCATAAAATATTGTATTCTTCTTTCTGAAAACTATGGAATAAGACTGAAGGTGATTGATCAGCCAAAGCCCACAACACTCACCACATGGATGATCTGCCACTTTTCCTTTCTCATTGAACTTTCTCATGCTTGTCTCCATTCTCCATTTAGGATTCTGCTTATTCTAATCCTCCACAATATTCATTCATTTTTCTTTCTACTCCAAATGCATTAACTTATCATATTGTGCCCAGGACCATTCAATATTGGTCTGAGAACATATTAAGTCTCTTCTCTCTATCACATGCTTAATATTGGAGTACCGGAAGATGGGAATTGATTGGGGACCAATTCCTTTTTATGGTCCATATGGAACGTGAGCCGTCGTTGTCTCTCACATACGCATTAGGAAGTCAGTCAACTATATTTTTATACACATGCTTAGGACTATTATATATATAGAATATGTGTATTCACATGCAAGTAGTATTACGGATCCAAACTTTTGATCTTAAATTTTTTATACCGTCTCACGTGACATTGAGTTGTCATCTTTTTACTGTAGATGAAATGCTTTAATATTAACTAACCTGATAAACTTTTGAATTATTTACAAATAAAAGATTAACAATTCATATATGTCCTGTCAGTTGCTATAAAAAAGTTGGATCCTTGACATTATTCTTCACAAAATATCGGACAAAGGAGAGTGAGAAAGGCAGCCGGGGACCAATTCCCTTTTGGGATCAATGCCTTGAAAGTTGATCTGTCCTATTCTTAAGCAAATTCATTAGGGCTCATCTCACTATTGATTTTTTCAGTAATCTTTGGACAGTTAGTCTCTATTGGAATAGTACTTATTAACATTTGATGGCTATTTTGGCTGCTTCAACAGTTTTTGCTTTCAGTAGAGACCTGAAAGTAACAGCCATTTTATCAAGTTGCGACACTTGACAAAGTGGGGAAAGATTTTTTTTTTCTTTCAAAATTTCCCTTCCTTTTTGCATGGTTTTAGTCCGATATAGAAAGTATAAATTAAACCGGACTTGTTTAAAGCCTAAAATAACTAATTTTTGTGTAGTAGAAAACCTCATTACAATAGTGATTAAAAAAATGGAATTAAAGTTTTTAGAAATGATACACAAGAATTTATTCTCTCCTTTTAACATTGAGTGACGGGGCAGTGTTCAATTTGTATTTGGTGTCACTTACAATTTTTGAATGGGGATCAAAAAGGATCTTTGGCTGCGGTTGAAAGGAATAAATATATAGTGAAGAGAGGCCAGCTTTTTCAGCAATAGTGAGTTTTGTTAAGTTCTATATATATGTGTGTGTGTATATATATATATTTATGATAGATTGACACTGACCACCAAACACTAGACAATCGTTGGGCGGAGGCAAACGAGAGAATATAAGCATATGTTAAAACACACAGGGCAAAAAGGCAAGAATGTAATACCTTTCTTTATCTAAGATAAAATATTGGCAAGAATCCATGGCAACTGAAAAAAAAAAAAGAAAAAAAAAATCAAAGAATTTTCACCTTTTCTGCTTTTTGGCATATGGCGGAGAGCAATAGGGGATCTCAAAAGTTGAGATTTCTATGTTCATCACTCCCTCTCTAATCTGTGGCGACTTTTAAACATTTTTCATGATTTTATTTCAGTTTACTATTAATTTTTTTTTTTTTTTTTTACCTCTTTTTGTTGAATAATGGTTGAGAAAGAAGAGATGATCATTCTTATCTTACATGTCAGTAAGTTACTCGTGAAATAAAAGAACCCCATTTCTTATGTATATGTTGTGGTGTTGATAACATACAAAACTTTGGAGAGTTATATCTTATATTATTCAGTTCGCTAAAAGGTTCTTCTGTGGAAGTAACATGTACCCTTTTGCTTCTAGTTGAAGATAATGCTGTAAAATTATTCTCTTGAATGTTGGTTTTAGATTGGAGAGAGAGAGAGAGAGAGAGAGAGAGAGAGAGGGAGAGAGAGAGAGAGAGAGAGAGAGAGAGAGAGAGAGAGAGAGAGAGAGGGCGAGAGAGAGAGAGAGGGAGGGGGAGAGAGAGAGAGAGAGAGAGAGAGTATATATTCTTTCATTTTTTTTTTTTTTACTTTACTAGAACTAATATTAAAAAGCTGAAGCTGCTGAAACAACAGAAATACACTGAGTTTTTTTGTGAGCCACGTTGACAAAAATATTTATGGAAGATATATATTGCAACCACAAAGTATATAATAAAGATAATATCTTTCATTAAGAATAGGGGAAACAGATTACAACCTACGACAACAATACAGCTAATTTAAATGCTACAGTACATTACTTGAGAGCACAGATAAACCAGTACATTAACATATATATATATATATATATATAACACAAAGCTGACTAATTTACTAGCTAACCACAAAGTCACAAACTAATTATTTTTGAGCCAACTTATTTTTCCTTCTTTTGCCAACGTGATATGGGACTCAAATTGGTAATTAAGACAGATTCTGGTAAGGCTTGAGCAGAGGAATGAGGTTGCCACTTAGGTGGAGTGACATGACTTCATTGGTGGACCCCACGAGCTTGCCGTCGATGAAGACGGCTGGCACCGGGGCGTTGCACCCGAGCCTTGTGAGGGCCTTCTCCATTTCCCTCCCTTCAGGGTCTTGGTCCAGCTCATAAACCCCGGGGTTGACCCTCAGCTCTTGGAACAAAATTTTGACAGCATAGCAAAGGCAACATGAGCTCTTGCTGAAGATCACCACCCCTTTCTCTGATGCCAATCTCATTACCTTCTCCATCAGCTTGTTGGGTTGGTTTGCCTTGTCCTTGGCTTAAGACCTCGGAAGAAAAACCGATAGGATCGAATCCTGAGCTGAATTCGACCCTACGGTTCGAGCTGAGATTGGAACTGTGAGAAGGGAAGGTGGAGTAAAAAAGAGAGAGAGTTTTTGAAAGCTAGCTTTAGTTTTGTTTTTGTATTTTTTTTTCTTAAGCTAGGTTTTAGGTTGTTTAGAAGTTGGGCTCTCATGCAAGACTATTTATAGGGACAGAATAAGGTGGTCTACTTTGAAGAAGAACATTCAAAAGAGGATGCGCTTTTTTAGAATAACCAAACTAGAAAAAAAATTATTAAATAAAAGGAGAAAAAAAAAAAGAAAGAAAGCTACTTTCTAAGATAAAGACTACTGTTTTTAACAAGCTGAAGAAGTTGGTCAGAAATACTACTTTCTGGTCATACACAAGTCTTTCATTAGTAACCATCTGATATAACGACTTGTATTATATAATTAATCTTTTTCCAAGATGGCTGGATCAAAAATATATGATCATGTGGTGAGATTGATCGTGTGGTGAGATACATACAATCAATTTGTTACGTACGTGTAAAGCTCAGCAACCATTTCTTCACCTTTTTTTGCAAGATTTTATGGAAACAAGAATACTCTCTGTCTACACAGCCAAAAGATTCTATATTTTATAGGCCGGTCAATTTATACCAGATTCTCAAAATCACCTTCCTTTGAATCCTTCTGCAGAAGCATAGCCAACAAGATAGGTGGCTTTCGGTGGGCGCAAATTCTTTATGTCGCACCCCACCAACTTGGAGGATTCCTTCTCACGTGGCACATAACACGTGTGATTATCTCCCATGATCATGATGTTCTTTCTCTTATTTTATATAATATATACATACATACATATATATATATATATATATTATACTGTATGTTTATGCAAAATAAATAAATAAATAAACATGCATCAATGTTTTAAATTGTTTACTTATTTTAATTGCTAATTGATCGAAAGTGACACTTCTTTGGATAGGAGGAGAAGTCTATAATAATAACATTTTGTTTAAGTTATTTCACTTGTTAAAAGTGACGCTCACTTTTTCATAAGGGATTCATATGCAAAGGTGGGATTCGTGCCTTTGATCCCCCTAAAAGGAAAGAACAAAAAAAAAAAAAATCACTTATTTTAAAATACTGAAAAGCAGAATCATGCAACAAACACTTTATACCATTTTGGTAGTGGTAAAGGGATAGTTCCTCTTCCTGAGACTCATGTGATGGTCAATTTATCAAAACAGTGACCCGTTTCAAAGTGGCGGATAAGCTTCATGTTTGGAACATTTTTTTTTCCTGGTCATTGATCTTGAAAGCAAAGCCTTGTTGTGAACTTTATTCTATGTTTTTTTGTGTGTTGTGGCTATGAAGATCAGGGACAATCTTTCTCGACACTCTCCAATGAAATAATCCTCAAGAAAAATTCTCTCTTATCATAAAAATCTCTAAATAGTTCAATGTAGGTGTATATTTATCACTATGCAGTAGTAAGTAACTAGTAAATCTTGCATGCAAACTTTTTGCATTGGTTTTCCATGAAATATATCAACAAGAGTAACTCAAACTTCACAACTTTTGTAAAAACTATATTTCCATGTAGAGATTGAATCTCAGGAAATTACAAAGCTACGTTTTTTTGTTCACATAACTATTCTGGCTTCGTTTCAAATACATCACCAGAAAAACCGAGTAAAAAAGCAAGCCCCAGAACAACTGAGGAAATACATAATATTGTGTTTGTTAAAACTGCAGCATATAAAACTAATGCAGCTCTTATGTTGATGCTTGTAGTTTTCTTTTTGGTAATGATGACACGAAGTCTAGAACCAGATGGCCCTTGCATCAATGAGCATTTGCTTAAGAGTACCATCAACATGAAGAGAAATTATATCTTTTGCTGAGCCAACAAACTTTCCTCCAATGAACACTGCTGGGACAGCAGGGTTGCAGCCCATCTGCTCGCGAAGGGCCCACTCCATCTCCTTCCCATTCGTATTGCGGTCGAGCTCGTGGATCGCGGGGCTAGCCCCGAGCTCGTAGAAGAGTGCCTTCACTGTGTGGCACATGCAACATGAGCTCCTGGTGAAGATCACAGCAGCCTTCTGTGATGCCAAGTCTCTAACTCTGTCCATTTCAATAAGCTTGCTCTTTTGTCTTATGTACTTTCTAGAAAAGGAAATTCAGATAGCTAGCTAAATGGGGAAACAATAATTTGAAAAGCTGAGGAGATCACTTAGCAACAAATGCTTAGTGAAGATAAAAAAAGAGCTCCAAAAAAGAAAACACAAGAGAAAAGTTTTTAAGCAGACTTGAGTAGAGTAATACTAAAGAAATTAAGGGAGATTTGTAAGTGTACAAGTAATGGTGAGGCTTGGTTCTGGTTGATTCTGGGATTGCATCACCCTATTTATAAAGGGCTGGAAAGGGTAATAGATTGCATTGTTTGTTAATCTATGAACAAATTAAAAAAACAATATAATAATAATGTGAAAAGAAAATCACATATATAATGGATAAGAAAGAGAATGTTGCTTTAGATATTTGTTTGGATAAGAAAAATGCTGATGATTTGTTTGATGGTGACCCTCCGAGTCTTAAAAAGACAAGTTGCAAATGCAGCAGCATCAACTTCCTGTTTGAAGAGTACTAATAATGATATCATTCAAAATCTTCTTCTTCTTTTTTTTTTTCAATTTTTTTTTTTAATTTTCCTAAGGAATGTGTCCGTACTGTTTTTGGAAGAGCTGGAATAAGAACCACAGAAATGTTTGTTCTCTAAAATTATTTTTATAATTATTAAGGTGCAAATTATACTTTCGGCACTTGTTTGCTAAGCATCAATCACCCCCACTAAATATTCATTATAAGCAGAGGAACAAGAAAAAGCTAGATTTGGAATTTATCTTAGACTATAATAATATTATTATATTCCAACGTAAAAGGAAGGCCATAATTTTTTTAAATGCAAAGTCAGAGGCGCTAGCTAGGCGGAGATCAGTAGGAGGAGAATAATCACCTGTCCAGGTGTTTACATTTGCCATACTTGGATTATTATCATTAAAATCTTGTCTAAATAGCATCATTATCCGTGATATCACTAATTAATAAAACATGGGCTAATCTCATGTCTCTCATTTCTAATAAAAGAGTAAATTATCTGCATATATAATCAGAGATATTATAATTTTTTATTTTTGCATGTTATGCTTGGTTTTTTGGATGCGGCTGATGTGGAGAAGATAAGAGTTTATCCAATTCATTTGCTCCTTTTCAAGCTTTGGTCCCTCCAAATCTATGGGAATATAAGACTGGGAGATCTTAGAGAATTCAAGAAAAAGAAAGGATTGGGAGAACTAGACCAGGAAGCTTTGCATGTGCAGAAAATAACGTGGCAATGAAAAAGATGATAAACAATTGGATGAAGGAAAAAGGAAAATGATCATACCTTAACTGTTACATTTCGTTACATTAACGTATTAACGAATATGCAATGCAACTTGATATCAAGAAATAGAATCTACCACCCAAAAAAGTAAATAGAGAATTTTATCTTTTTTTTTTTTCTCTCTTTTCTACACACAAAAATTGGTGTTCAATCTTTAACAATATTGTAAAAGTTTGTGTGTAATCGCATCTTGTATGTTCTGAATGATCTCCAATATGCAATAATTCTTAGTATAATAATCGAAGAATATGCCACGTACGCCTTCCTCATAATATTTTATAGACGTGACGGATAAACATGATTGATCCTTTTTTACTTTCTTTTCATCTTCATCATATGAGTATCTTAATAAACAAAAAAATTTTAAATTTCAAAGCATATAATACAGTCAACCCCCAATAATACAATTCAGTTGATTTGGGGTATTAAGAAATTCGTGAAAAAGGGGAGTAAAGCTAATCTATCGGCATCCAACTACCCAAAAGTTGAAATCCAATTTATGTCAATTTCTAACGTTGAATGGATCAGTTGAATGACGTTATAAAAATCTACATTCCATTTTAAATCACAATTTAAATCTTTTTTTTACACTATTTTATCTTATAAAAATTTAAATTTATGTTCAAATTTTATATTGAAACTTAGGAATTGTCTGGACCTCTAATCTTTTTACAGATTGATTCACCTTAAGTTAAATTGTATTTTAATGCACATGAGCTTTTCTTTATTGTGCACATTCCCAGAGTGCATGTGAATAGATCGATATCTTGTCTAATTTTAATGTCTAAAATGACATCAAACTCATCAGTCGTCCACATTATGTCATATCGTTTGAAAATTTTGAAATGCTCTTAATTATCATTTACATGCTTTTTCATATGAGTCATAAGTCATTAAATAACATTGTGACGTATAAATATGATAAGTTAGCATCATTTGTGACATTTAAAATTGGACATAATCTAAGTCCCACGCGCATAAGTTGTCTATTTGTGTTTCACTCATTTATTTGCAATCATTTACTTTTTTCTTTTTCTTCTTCTAAATTTAGTGATGTGTGAATTAAACAACGTAACCAACATCCTATTGTTTGTTACCTTATTTGAATAGATGATCTGAGTCCAATCCCATAAGAATCCTCCACATACATTTAATGCAATACATTATCCTCCGACACTTGACAACTAAGATTAACTTTAGCAATATAATTAATAATATTTATTTTGACAATTAATTAAATACTTTTCTATATTCATCACATATAAACAAAACTTTTCTATATATATCTTAACACTTAGAAAACAAATATGATGCAAATATACGGTGGTAGTGGTACATGTGGACGGTTTAACTCAACACGAGGTTGAGCTATTTTTCCTCTCATAATGTCAAAATAAGATTACAAATATATTTTTAAAGTACTCACATAACAAAAATACCCTTAACGGAATCAAATAATGGTAGTCCACAAAGCAACTTATCGTGATATTGAAGGTTGTCTGTCATGATATTGAAAGAATTATTTTTATAAATGCTCCGAATTATGTATCTTGTTTTAAAGTACTCTCTAATTTTTTAAAACGATTCAAAATACTTTTTGATATATAAAAAATAGATTAAATTACCCCCTCCCCCTAATTTTGTCCATAAATTTAACAGAATGTTAACGTGGCATGCCATTAAAAATGTAGAAATATAAAAAGTCCAAAATACCCTCAGATTAGTTAACCTCAAAATAAATAAAAAACTAAAAACAAGATTATAAAAGATGGAATTGTCTTTGGTCAGGCACTTAGAATTGTGGCTGACTGGTCCGAACAATGAAAACTGGCCATTGGATATGAAATTGGCGTCCCAGATTTAAGGAGAAATTACCTCTCAGTTAATGTGACCGTCGGATTGAAATTTGGACGGTGTAGATGAAAATTTTGTTTCTCAAAAGATATCTCCTTTTTCAAACGCAGAGCACTCCCATACCCACTTCGCCCTCGACATCCCTCGACCTTCCTCGAGCTCCATTGACCTCCTCCGCAGCCACATCGGCATCGACGACTTCCGACAGGCGGACAAGGCCGTGTCCCGACAACTCCCACAAGCAAATCCACTTCTATCTCTTCCTCCACCCTGATGTTTCCTCTCTCCTCAAACACCACCACTGTTGGTCTCCGAATCGAATTCGGATGCGGAAGCGTGGCGGGGAGGCGGATCGTGTATAACAAAAATTTTCATAAAACCTTTGAGATACTCTATAGATTATATTAATTTATGCACGAATAAATTAATCTCATTAATTCATATATTAAGAACTCAATTAGGAAAAATACCTGGAGGCCGACTCGGATGATAACTTGAGTTCTTTGATCTCGAACAATCCTTGCTCCAAAGCTTTGTGTTTAGAAAATCAATGTCTTCCATGTCAATTCCTAGAATCCACGAAGATGTGTGTGTGGGCACACATGAGACAAAACGGGTTACAATAAATACTCAAATTTCCACAAACACCAACGCATGCACGATGTGAAATTTTTAGAGAAAAATTTTTCCTTCACTCTATAGAGAAATTTCGGCCACCTCTAAAATTAGGGCAAAAATTCATTCCGAAAATTGTCTCAAAAATTGTATCCACAATTTTCTACTATTCTCTTATTTATAGAATAGAAGTTAAACTTCTAGAAGGAATCCAATCTCTATCTCCAAGATAAAGCTTGTTAATTATCTCCTATTTGAATTTAAAATAAAAATTCTCTTTTCCTCTATCCTTCTTATGGTCGGCCAACCCTAAGGGATTTTATCCCTGTGTAGGCGCTATGGAGAAGCAAATGGCCAACATGTTGAGCACACCCCTCAAAGAGTAAGAGAAAACTTTATTGGAATTGTGGTCAATTGGGTAAATGTAGTAGCGAGTAATGACCCCAATTAAGATGAGAAAGATGATAAATGATGACACTATTATGCCTCCAAGCCAAAGCCAGCCATTTGGACCCAGAGTGGCTGAAATGGGTGAATCGGTTACGTGGGGTTTGAACCATTTGGTGAGGATTAGGGGCTTGGAGTTATGATCTGATTTGGGCTGCTTCTCTCTCGTTATGTAAGTCTCAATTTGTAGGTCGAGATTGGTAAGGTCAGATGGGGTTCGGGTAAGTGGAAGAATAAGGTCTAGCATCGAGAGGTCTGTCGAGTTCTTGAATGCGGCGATCAGAAGTACTCGCGGGGTTTTGCATTTCAGGGTTGTGGTTGTGAAGATGAGCTCTCGGATTATGGAGATGAAAGGGGTTATTCCACTTCCTCCGCTCACCATCACAAGAGTGTCATGCCTGCGAAAAGTTCAAAAGTGGCCACGAGTTAATCACATACTGTAACATATATCATAGAATTTTAAATTTTAAGACTTTAGCTATATTTATCTATACAAGAAATGTATAAAGCCATTAATAATTACCCTTTTCATTCTGTCCATTCACATATTGTCATTTGACACAATGTTAGCAATGAGTGATCGAAAGCACACGTAAGATTTATTATGGCTTATTCGCAATGTGCGAGGTATTTACACTTTCAGTTCTTAGTGGTTTTTACTATGATTAAGAAGAAGATTATAAGAGAATTACATATAGGGTTCGTTACCTTAGAAAATTAGTTGAAACAGGTCCGTAAGGTCCTTCAACAGCGACTTCAAGCCGATCTACGTTGGAAGCCGACGACGAAAGCAGTAAGTAAAGCTTCTTAGCCCAACTTCCTTCACTCTTAATGACAACGCTGAGCTTCTCCATTAGT